AGCAACGGCTGAGGCAGGAAGCATGAGTCGAGAACCAGTGGTGTGTGTCTCACCAGAGAGGTGTCTGAGGCGCAGCATACCTCATCTGGGAGGTCTCCTGGGTTCTGCTTTGTCTGCATCAGAGTGGTATCCACACAGGTTTTCCTTGTATCAGCCCTGTTGCTAGGCCCCCAACATAACTCATCCATGTCCTCCTCCATGTTTGAAGGATCTCAGATGTTCCTTCCACATCTTGGCAAGAGAAAGCTTAAAATATCCATGGATGTTCTGAAGAAAGAGAGAGCATGCCCATGGGCTCTGTCACAGGAGCTCCAGAAATCCTGGCCCTGACTCCTGCAAGTACATCTCTGAGGTACTACAGGCTGGAGAAACCACAGGTACTTTGTCCTGGGCCCAGAGCCTTTCTGTAGCACTTCCTGATATCAGCATGTTTCTGCAACATGCTTTTTATAATTTGTGGGTTCCTTTAAATGTCTTTGTCACAGAGATAGCATCTCTCATTGAGGCTCTGACATCAACTATGTTTGGAGAAAGGCTAATGGCTGAGGTGAACTTTTAATCTGAGTTAGAACAGTCTTTTTTATGGTCTCTTTGTACTCGAATCTGGAAAAACAGTGTGGCAATGTGTCTCCTTCACTCTCTCCTTCACTCACAGTGGCCTGATTGAATCTCATGTTGTGCAGTTGGTTAGTGGGTGTGGGGTGTCTTGGGGAAGATGACCAGCCCCATGCAAGTTGGATGGATTGAGCTGGGAGAGGGATCACCTGCAGGTTATCTCTTGAGGCAGAGGTAAGAGGAATGAGAATAAAAATCTCATTCAGTATCCATGTGAGAGCTGGTCAGGAGAAATGCCCCACGTGCAACTTTCTGTGGAAACCATGGCAAATGGGAGATTTCAGGAGTTGGAGAACAGCATCTATGATCTGTGTCTGGCCTTTTAAGACGTGACAGGAGACCTTTCTGCTCTGGTCCTTGTGGTGAGGAAGAGCCTCTCCTCTGTCAGACATGCTGGTAGACAGCGCCATGTGCATCCATTGAGGTGAGTGGCAAGTGTACTTAGGGTGTGGGTTATCTTGGAGAATGGACTGCTGTTGGTACAAGTATGTCTATCCACAGCTGCAATGCAGCCTCTTGTTTTTTCTGCCCCTCTAGGGCCATGCAAGCCACCTGCAGCTGGCTGGACATCCAGACTGACAGGCTGTTCCTGGTGTGTTGGGTCCCAGGCAGCAGTGCTGTGGTGCTGTATCACAAACGTATGAACTGAAAGTGCTACAGGACAACTTATGGGACAAGGGCCAGTGGAGCAGGTCTCATGCAGAGCATATGGTATTTGGCAGGTCTGTACTGCGGGGCTACCTGGGAAATCTGTTCATGTCCATGTCCTTGTTGTCTGTAGCTGGGAGTCTGCAGGTTTATTTCCATTTTACAGATCTATGTGGGGCTATAGAGTCCCTGACTCGAGGGGGCCTTCATCTATGACCAGAAGTCCTGGTCACTCTTCTTACTGTGCAAGTACAACCTATTTTGTCCAAAGGTCACTTGCTCTGAACGTGATTTACATGAACATGATTTACAGGAGTACTCTGATTATATGTGTCTGATTCCTAAGTAAGCTGTAAAATAACTAATTTCCCAACTTTGCTGTTGGAGAGAAAAAGTGCATGACAGTCTCTTTATCACCATGTAAGTATATACATTTTTATGTATACTCTTCTATTTTTTGCTTGTTATTACTGTTTCTTTGATCAAGAAAGAGTCAGCATTCAAGAATAGCTCTCTGCCTAGTTCCATTTAGCAAAGAATTCATATTCTTATAAACATAAATCTCTATCAGTCTCTGCAAGTTCAGCCTCTGGCATCCTGCTGACCCCACACAGAAGCATCTTGAAAGCTTGACCGCCATTCCTGCTTTGTGGCTGCACAGCCAAACCCTCCTCAGAGCCACTCAAAACATGTTTAATTAAAAACAGTCTCATGCATGAGTAGCTGTAGGCGTGGATTGGACAGGTAAATTAACATGACTGCAAGCCTCTCCCTCCTCCCAGTGCTGCAGAAACCAGGTTGTACGTGCCCTGGCAGCCTGTGGTGTAGCCATGGCCATGCTGTAGCCAGGAGCTGGTGCTGGGGCAGGGAGGCCTCAGCAGCCTGCAGAGCTGCCTCCATGCATTGCTGGAGCTGTGGGCTCATTTTCTGTTTCCACACACTGAGTTTCTAACATCTGGCTCTGCTGCCTTCCTCCATGTTAAGCCAGGCCTGTGTATTTCCCCAGTTAATGCTGACAGGCATTAATGACAGTAAAAGCAGGTACGCTGCTAACCCCAGCCTATTTAAAAGAAGATGTGCAGAGTTAGTGTGTACAAATTTCTCTGTAATACTTCACAGCTTACTTCCTGCTTTACTTGCTAGCTCAGGTTTTCCAATCTCCTGTGTTCTATCAGTGCCTCATGTCATGTAAGGAATGAATCTCTATTCTCCTTTTGTGATGCTGTTGGAGGCTAAATGAACAAAATAATCCTGTGAGCTTGCAACTCACCATGTAAAAAGATTTTTAGTTCACCTTCCAGCTACAAGTTCTTACAGAAACATAGAATGAGTTAGATTGGAAGAGACCTTAAATCTTACCCAGTTCCAACCTCCTGCCATGGACAGGGACACCTTCCTCTATACTAGGTCACTCAAAGCCCCGTCCCACCTGGTCTTGAACACTGCCAGGGATGGGGCAGCCACAGCTTCTCTGGGCACCTGTGCCAGCGCCTCAGCACCCTCACAGGGAAGAATTCCTTTCTAATGTCTGATCTAAGTCTCCCGTCTTTCAGTTTAAAGCCATTCCCCCTTCTCCTATCACTACTTGCCCTTGTAAAAAGTCCCTCTCCAGATTTCGTGTAGCCCCCCTGCCTTTAGATACTGGAAGGCTGCTGTGAAGTCTCTTCTTCAGGCTGAACAACCTCAAGTCTCTCAGCCTGTATCCATAGATAAGTGCTCTAGCTTTCTGGCCCTCCTCTGGACTCAATCAAGCAGCAACACATCCCTCTTGTGTTAGGGGCTCCAGGGCTGAATGCAGTACTGCAGGTGGGGTCTCAGCAGAGTAGAGGGGCAGGATCACCTCCCTCTACCATGCCCTTATTTCCCCCCCCCCCCCCCCGCCTTCTACTTGTAGTTTCTGTTAAGCCTCACAAGGTGTTTTCTATCTGCAACAATCACACAAAACTTTATGTCTTTATATAAAAAAGGGAAGTGAAATTTCAGCCAAGGGTTTTGTGAGCATTTATTAGCCAATGTTAGAAATTAGTGTCTAATCTCATCAAAGAAATTCATTATACATGTAATTTGAGAGGGTTGCTCTTAAGAGGAGGCTGCTGATGGATGACAACACAGGCTGTGCATGTGCTGTCATCTTCATCCTGGCTGTGAGGTTTTTTTTCTTAGCTAGTGAGGCTGTGAGGGACAGAAGGAACCTAATGGGACTTCACATACCATGTGATGTATGGGGCACTTTCAGTCAAGAAATATTGAACTCATGAATGTACTCATTTGTCCTGGAGTTGCTGAGAGGGAAACTAAATACAGGACACTGCAATGTCACAGTCATACAGTCACTTTTGGAGCAACAGAGCTACACTAGAAAGGCCATATTTTCCTTAGATTTTACTGCAAATCTTTAAATGAGCTCTGTGACGCTGCTGTCACTGGCTGGAGGAGAAGTGAACATTTGCTGGATGTGGCTGTATGCAGACCCCTTTTGCATTTTGTTTTTCTCTAACTCTGAACATTTTGGAGTGCTATTTTGAAGCAACCCTGCACATGCTGTCTGTTCTGTCTTGTGCCTCCACCACAGCACTGCAACCCTCAGCTCTACCAGCCTGCCCTTCATGCATGAAGGTGAAATGAAGTTGAACGTGCACATCTAAGGCAGGTAGTTAGCCCCAGTCTTGCAGCGATATTTGAGAAAGATTTTCTTCATGCCATTTCAGCGGCACAGAAGGGAATGAAAGTGTTTCTTACTTACTGTAAATACTTTTCTTTCTACCCCTTCCTCTACACTGTTGCGTCTGAAGACTTGCTTCACAGCTTTTCTCAGAGAAGGCTATTTCTGGCACATCTTAGATCAATTTAGACCTGTCCTATGCATGTATGATAAAGACAGGATGATGCTGTGGTAGCCTTGAACAAACCTGTAAATTTTGGACACTGGGTGTAGGAGATGAGATGTAATTGTCATTACTGAGAAGTCAGAGGGACCAAACCAGTGGCTGAAATGTGGAATTATCAAGCAGAGCCAGATTCTTTGAAAAATAGTGTGGACCACAACACAAGGGGTTTAAACATTTCTCAGAAATGTTTATACATGTAATTCCACAGTATGGAGCTTCTTTAACAGGCTGTGTTTGTGCTGTTTTTCTGGACACAGACATAAAAGTGTAAGATTGCCAGCTGCATTCTGAACAGTTGTTCCCTAGTACATCTGCTAAGTGCATCTAAAAAATTCCAGATGTTGGCTCTAGTGTTATGGAAGTTTACTTCCTCCAGTGAGTGAGATGGTTTCTGATGTGTTGCTTGTGTAATCAATCCACCTTGGTACTCAGTACGAAATGCCAGTGTGCTTTAAGCCATCTCAATGAATGTGAACAAAGTGTCTGGGCCTGTATGACCTTGTAGATAACTGGTTCACTGTGGTTCTTAAAAGACTGTCTTTTTGGTCTCGTCTCTAGGATCTGCACTACAGACAGAGCCAGGGTGGCTTCTGGGTGCATTCTGTCCAGTTTTGCAATGCAACTTCCCATAACCTTTATTCTGTGCCTGGGGTGGTTGTATGGAGCCCTTTCCCGCATGGCAGGTACTATTCAGAAGAGCCCAGCAAAGTTCAGGCTGGCAATGTACCTTTGCATACAGAGGGAAAGCCTTCTCCCACCTGTGCTGCTGGTAAGACTCTCTGTAACTGATTGTTGTTCGTATCTCAGCTGGTGTGCATGTGCAATGTTTTATCTGACTGGACTGATTTTTCTCCCTGGGTGGGGATACAGTACTTCAAAAACTAGAAAAGGAGTAAAAGAAAAGTGTCTCACCTTTGCCTGCTCTCGGTGTTGGCATCTTCCTAAACAGGGTGAGCTGACCAGGAGATATTTTTGCCTTTCCTTACCACTCAGCCCTATTCTCACACTTGCAGCTGGCACCAAGGTGCAGGACTTTGCAGAGCACATTGTGGCTTGCATTTATTCAGCCTGAGTTCAGTCACCCAAAACCTTGCAGGTCTATTTTGAAACATTATTCAGTCTCTGGAGTTTCTTTTTTTTTTTTTCCTTCTCTTACTTCTGACATCATTTCCTGAGTGCTATATTCACCGAGCTCTGTAGCCAGATCATCTTCTCAGCATATGGTGCAAGGAGGTCTTTAAAATGGATTTCAGCTCTCCTTTTACTCTGCAGTGCTTGCTGGTGATAATAACTGTTACTCATGGTAAGTGGGATTTTTCTTTATGAAGTTGGCACAGATTGCCTAAATCGGCAGACACCTTAATTTTGCTCCAAGGTCTCTTAATGACTCTACCAGGTCTGGGGAGATGTCAAATAGCGTAAGTACCAATACATGAAAGGGGTAGTCAGACTAAAGTAAGATAGATTGTTTTTTTTTAGTAAACGAATGATAATTAACAATAGAATGCTTTCTCAGTGTACTGCATCTGTCGAAGCATTTCAGAAGAGAATGTAAGGTCCTTGTAGGCAGAACACTGGCTGGAGGGGCTAGGGAGGATGTGGTCCCGCTCCTAATGCTTGGTGTGACCTCAGGTTAGTCCCCGAGCTGCTGCTGCCCTGCCATTTACCCACCTCTGATTTGTGTACAGCAACTTCACAGCATGCAGGATTACTGTAAGACTTGTTAAAGTTAAAGCTGCCACCTTACTCTTTGTGTAAAAGTAGCTGTGCAGGCAGCAGTTGGTTTTGCTATCCTCTGTAAAAGATCCATGGCATCGATGCCCAGAGTATCTGCCTGCACAGTCTTGCAGTTCTGAGGGTTGGCTGGGAGATGTTCGTGTCAAGTTTGAGGAGAGAAAAAATGAGGTGCTCAGCCTTTTGTAATGTGTGTGTGGTGTGAACACCACTCCCGTGTCACAGGGTGGGGGGAAGTTTGCCTTTATGCAAGGCTTCCCACTCCTCTGACTTCCAATTACAGTCTGTCACTAGGGGTGGGTCTGTGCCTCTTGAGGTCTCACCTGTGCATTTGCCTGTCTGGGAGGCAGCTGAGAGGGGATGGATGGACACCACAAGCTTGCTGCCCACACTCTGCATCTCTCCTTTAGGCTCTATCACCTGGACCAGTGTGCTCAGTGGCAGCTCAGCAGTCTTCTCTGTGGGAATTCAGAGCCTGCAGAACCTCTCCAGTATGAGCAAGAGGGACATGAGATGCTTGACAAGTGTCTCGAGTGATACTTTGCTGGCTAAGTGTGGCACTTCTGCCCCCAGATGCCTGAACTTCTGGAATGGCTCTCTAGTGCTGAAGACTGTGGAGAAAGAGGACGAAGGAAAATATGAGTTTGTTTTTCACAACACCACCAGAGTTTTTACAGTGCAAGTATTTGGTAAGTAGCCTACTTATCAACAAATAACATTTGAACTTGTGAGCCTGGCTGGAAGCTGGTGCCTTGAAATTCTTCCTAAGTGACCACTTCAGCTTGCGGGAGCTATAGGTGCCTCTGGAACAGCTTTGTAAGATTCTGACACCTCAGGGAACAGTAATGGTGAGTGTAAATAAAGGATGCTTGTTGCATCTGTGTTGTCAGTCTCTCCTGTCTGTTGAGCCTTGAAGTAGCCAGTCAGTTGAGCAATGAGATGGTTTTCCTGCTGTAAGAGATAACAGCACGAATTTTTTGTGAAGTTGAGCCTACAGTACGTAGACCTGTAGCTGGAATGGACTTCAGTCCATTTCTAGAGTACTCTTTCTGATGGCTCTCACAAAATCTCTCACTGACCGAACAACATTTTTGTTGCCTGTGCACACACTTCCTTAAGGAGTTAACTCTACCTTGCTTGGCTCTGGAAACTGAACTGGCCTTGTGCGCGTCTGGGTTGAGGTGTGCTGGGTTATTCTCCTGCTTCATGCAGCTGAGGGAAGGTGCTAAACAAATCCAGGTATGACTTTCTGATTTTTAGGTGCCCCTGAGCAGCTTGGAAGTCAGTACCTTCTGGGTCTGTTCAGAGACCAGCTATAGGTTTCTTGCCATGCCAGTATCCCTGCTGTCCTCCCTGTGGCCTCAGAATTGCTGCTCCCCTTTGTGTGCCTGCTCATTCATCTGTGGAGTGAGAAGACAGATGCAAAATCACTTCTGTACCAGATCCAGCTCATTGCTTGTGTTAATATGAAGAAGGCTTAAATGGGTTTGCCCCCTGCTGAATAGTGCGCCAGAAAGCCAGCGAACGTTGTTCTGGTCCTCATCTCCACCATTCCTTTTGCAGGGCTTTCACTTAAAAAAGCTTCTAAGGGAGATTGAAGCGTATGAAATTGTAATGGAAATGTCTGAGCAAACTGGTCTTAGTGAAGACAAATGAATCTTTAAACCTTTTGTGCGCAAACAGGCGGAACTGCCATGGAGAGTAGGTCAAAGATGTGACTCCTTGGCATGAAGATCAGGGACTTAGACTGGAAGTAGGCAAAGACTGCAGAAGTGTCCTGGATTTAACCTCCATTTCAGTGAATTTGCTTTGGGAACTTCTGTCTCCTCCTTCTTTTCTGTTGCCACACCTAAGTTAAGGAAACAATTTCACAGCAAAGATAGTCCTGAGGGCAGTGAATTTTAGCTGAAGGTAATGTCCTAGTTGAACAAAGTGATTTCTGAGCTTATTTACATGGATGTTTACATCAACATTCTCAGAGTTACTCTTACTGTCTTAAAACCATATTATTTCTCTGTCTAGTCTGTATTTGCAAAGTGGCAAATTTAGGAAATAGGCTGGCTCCTTGTAGTAGACAGAAAGAGAGAAATTCAGAAAAATGTAGTAAGATCGATGAATCATAACTTCATTTCAAACTGGCCTAGTCTGGGTCATCCTATCTACCTGCAGGTGTCTGGTACCTATGTTGGACATGATTTGTACCAATTGCTCTCTAAAATAGAAGAAGAGGCACAGTGATAACAAAAGTACAAACCTCTGGGGGAGGAGAGGGCTGAGTCTCCTCTGAAGCTGGTTACCTGTTGATTACAGAGGAAGCCCCTGGATGGCATATGCTTTGGGTGTTTGCACCATCCTTTCAGATCAGGGGCTTTTATATATCATGTTTTCAATTTCAGTAAGGAAAATGAAGAAATATCAGATTTTCATGGCATCCCCGAAATAGGTACCAGGAGTCACCAGCAGGGTTGGATGGGCGCTGCTAACCATTTCAGGGCTGGGGGTAGGCACTTAGGAGTCTGGTTGTTTACTTCTGTGCTCCCTGGCAGTAAATGTGGTGGTAGTAAGGGGAGCTCCTGTCCAGCTCCTGTTCACTGCTGAGTTGGTTCCTCACCTCTTTTTTTCCTTCCTGTTCCCATTGCCCTGTGCTGTGTGTGACCAGAGCCAGCCATTGGTATCCAGTGCTTTCCTAATGGGACTGGAGAGTTGTCTTGCAACGTGAACAGCAACGAGAGCACCAGCTTTCGGTGGCTGCTGAATGGCACCGTGATGAGTGCCCCTGAGGCTTGTGTTAAAGATGGCGGGAAGAAGGTTCGCCTGGACAAAACCGGTCCTGGGGAGTTTGTATGTGAGGTTTACCATGGGAACAGTGTCACCAGGACCAGGCCTGTTTTGCTCTCTTGTAGCTATGGTGAGTAATGGTGTCTCCAGAAAACCTCTCTTTTGGTCTCTTGCAGCAGAAAACTAATGAGTTGTTGCTGTCAGAATAATACCGAACTCTTCTGTCATCTGGCAGCTGCCTTCCCACGTCCTCCCTTTTAGGAAATTTCCCCTTGACTTCCTCCTCCCTCCTGTGTCTCGGGATGACATAGCCTACAACCACAGAAAGGATGAAAATTTGTTCAGGAGGTCCTTTTACCCAACCCTACAGCAAGGATGGATTGCCATCTGTCCATTTTCCTACTTCCCAGTGATGGAGACCTTGCACCCTCCTGTGCACCAATCCTCTATGCCAGTTTAGAAACATGAGCTGCTATCTACCTGACATTACCCAGACAGCTTTCCAGTTTCTGCAACATCCCTGTAAAAACATGTCCACTTGTTCAGCCCTGTTGCTGCTGGGTTCAGCTGAGGAAAAACCTGCCTTGTCTTTTTTCTCCTTATTTAGGCCAGCTGCACAAAGATTTACCAGTCTATACAAATGTCTCTCCATCAGCCCTACACCATCAGAGGTGTGGTAGAGACAGTTCATTTAGTTATGAAATGTAGTGGATTTTCTCTCTGTGTCTCCGCTCAGATATGTAGTTCTGTGATAAGGCTATGACTTCATCCATTGACAAGCTATCCATATATGCTGAGTACTCTGCTGGAATGAGGCCATGATTTAATGGGACAGAAAATCAAGATCCTAGGACTGATCAAAACTGCCAGAACTGCATGATGCATGTGTTGTAAGCTCACATTCAAACAAACAAATTATTAGATAACCTTGGGTGTGCACACCAGCATTGATGGTTTTTCTCCTCTCTGGCAGTGAAGATGATCAACAAAACCACATCAAAATAGCATAATTCTTTATCTGTAAGATTTTGACAGATTTAGGTGTCATTAATTTATTCATCTTTGCTACTAAAGAAATTGTACTGTGCAATAGCACTTAGCATTTTAGAAACTGAGGCATTCCAGGTCCATAGCAGCTACTGTCTTTTTTTTTTTCCTATAGTTGGCATACAGTTGGTGTGAAAGCAAAATTACTGACATAAACCCTATTTCATGTGTACTGGCATTCAGCGGAAATGCCGGGGGCTCTTCAAGCCTGATCATGTTGGCACCACTGGCCAGTCTGTGTAGGTTTGGCTCTTGTGATTGTGGAAAATGATCTTCATTTTGTCTGGTTAAACTGGTCAGAGGTAGTGTAGTCAGACCCAAGTGGGTTGTGGCACTGGAAAATGAGGATGTGAATATCCACAAGCTGTTCAGTCAAGCCCTGTGATAAAACATGCGAGTGCTGGCAGTTACCATTGTTTGTTCTGGGTGGCTGCCCAGTCCCCGGGTGTGATATCAGTTCCCCATTTTCTTTTGAAAAGCCCACAGGGGAAATTAGTGATAGGTCTGTTGGGATGGACACATGCATGAACACAGATTTGAAAGGGTCTGAGAGCAAGAGCACAGCAGAGATTCAAGTTTTTAGTCACTAGATGCAATTCTGAATACTAGTAAAGTGACTTGAAGAGAGAAACAAGTTCAGTTAAAGATTAACAGATTATTTTTGTTGATTATTATTTCTCCAGGCAAAGTGCTGAATATAGTTTTGCACTGTAGGTATGAAATGTATGTAAAAACAGTTATTTAGGCAACCTCTTGGCTGCTGAAATTGATTTTGAATAACAGCTTAAAACAATTTGGCAGAAATACTGTAAACTGATCAGGCACCAAAGGACTCTGACCACCGGGATCTAAAGCAGAGGTTTCAGAATTTAACAAGTCAACATACATAAAAGGCTTTTATCGGTTCATTACTTTTTTTATTACTTGTTTATTATAGATTTTTAACACGATATTTTATCTCAAAAAGACCTTTTTAACAAATGGCAATTTTTTAGGAAAAAACAGAAAAAAAATCCAACATATATTTATACTTCTGACAATATGCTCTAAGCTTTTATCAAAAAAGGAAATGAAATTGTTAGGGAAATTATTTTTCATTTGCTGAAAGTTTAATTGTAAGTATAGATTTTTTTTGAACTTGGTAACTGTTCCTAAAGCGGCTGGAACAAGCACTCCAAAAATACTGAGTATGTGTGGTTTCACACACAGGAGGAGCTGTGTACCCTTGTTTTTACTGTCCTGGTGAGTGTGTGAACTGTAACAGTGTGTAGTATGTCCTGGAACATTTGAAACACTTCCCAGCCTCTGGGGATATGCAGCAATTTGTGCATATGGGGTCTTGAAAACAGGCTCTATGTGAGCCTGGTGGTTTCTGCAGTGTGGTGCTATACGGGGGTGCGTGCAGCCAAAAAGAAGCCAAATGATTAAAAAATGGACTGTGTAAGCTCACCTAAGAAGTTTTAAGGACTCTGCATTATGGTGATAATTGAGCTGTATGGGGTTGGGTTTTTTTTTTTTTTCATGTGGGAAGAAGAGTTTTCCTTCTGGCTGCCCCAGGTTGGAATAAATTGTCTTAGAGAGGGAGCCAGTCTGGGATAATCTCTCTTCTGCAAGTCTGTGATGTCCTCTACCAGCTTCCTTGCTCAGCAGCAGCATATGTGCAAGGCTGACCCATCAAAGCAACCCTGAGCAAGGGACTCTGAGCTGGGCAGTAATTACCACTGACTTGTGTGTGGCCTTCTGCTCAGCCATCTGTAGCTTTTGCTTTTGCCTCCTGCTAGGTGTTTTGAATGATCTTGGTTGGGAAGGGGAATAAAGAGAAATCCTTCCCCAGGCAGCAGTGAAGCTGGTTTATTAAAGCTCTGGCTCGGGTGGCTGAAGTCTGTGGTAGCTGAGAAAGTGATCTTTTATCAGACTTGCTTTGAGTTTGGTGTAGTCATTACATGGTTGTTATAAGTGGGTTCTCTGGGCCCTAGCACAAGCTCTGAGGGTGGATTCTGCAGCTTTTCTTTCAGCAGGAGATGCTACCTTAGGTAACTATCGTCTTCTCAGCTGTCAGTTTTCATAAACCTTGTTGAAATGTAGTATCTTTCAAATCACCACCTTTCTTGTTAAATTTGTTTAAAACTTATGAATTATCTTAGATGTTACTGGTCAGAGTAGGTCGAAACAAACATGCATAGCTTAACCAAGCAAGTCTCTTCTCTTAACAAACAATCCCATACTATAATTAAATGATGTGACATAAGTCACGATGTGCCACGGTTCACAGGATCAGCTCCCCTCATCCAAACCAAAGCAACACTAATGTCCACATGCTCTAACCTGGCTGCAGGATTTTCCCCCTTTGGAGGAAGTAGCTTGTCCGCCCTGGTAACTAACAGTGCTATGTTCTTCTTGCAGGAGACCTGCTGCAGTATCCATGGTTCATCTACATCCTTGCAGGGTGTGCAGGGGGTGCAGTTATCATGGTGGTGCTTGTATCCTCAGTCATATGTTGCTGCATGAAAAGGAAACACAAATTCATCCCAGTGCCTTCAGGTGAGTGGAGAATGCTGTTTCCCCCCGGAATGAGCCTCAGTGTAGCCTGAGGTTAAAACAGCCTCAGCATAAACGGGTCTCAGCTGGGTCACTACTTGTCTTCTAGCCAGTCCTCCCTTGTCCTGGTGGAGCAGAAAGCTGCATGCTGATGGGCAACTATTGTGACCAGCAGGGTGTGGAATTAAACCTTGCTTTTCCTTTTTTCACCTCACGCTTGCCACCATGTGCTCCTGAAAAGAAAGAAACAACAAAATCTCTTCTATGGGCAAGAAAATTGAGCCTCATTCATATGTAATCCTGAAATGACCTGTAGGCTTCTGATAGCAGTCCTTTGCCAGCACCAGTCCCTGACTGCAATCTGCCCGTGCCCAGTGACGTCACCTCAAGCTGTGATCCTGCCAGCCTGCCCAAGCTGGTCTCTGACAGGTTGCTGTTGGCCCACTGTACACAGCATCCGTCTGCTCTGGGAATGGAGCCAGTGCCGCATGAGGAGGAGATACAAGCATGTGTTGGTGGTCTGGCCTTGCAATGGATGTGCTGAGGCTGCTGGGATGTGCGGGACCTCTTTGTTTCAAGTTTCCGGTTTTGGTTTTGCAGAGGAGGAGAAAGATGACAGACTAACAATGTCCATGATCTCCAGTGAAAGTGTGAAGAGCCCCCCCAGTGGAGACCATGTTGAGGCTCAAGCTGCCCAAATTGACTGTCCTCCAAAGCCTGGTGGGTCCAGTGACTTGATTTAAGTTGGACAGATAGCTTGTTTAGGAGGGTGAAGGACAAAAGGGATGTGTGTGGCTGATAGGGTAGGAGCTGACTATTGAGAGGGGCCTGGGACTCACTTGGTGAGTACATGCTTGGAAGGTGCTACATTTTGTCCAGACAACAGGAGTTGCAGCAGGTCATTTATCAGTACGTTACTCATGCTTGGCTTCTACACAGGTGTGGCTCTTGCCCTCACCCAGCCGTGAGTTGTAATGGCAGCCATCCCACAAGCATCCCACACAGGGTACGCTGGCAGCCTACAGACTGTTCCAGTACCTCATGTGCTAAAATACACATCTCAAAAACAGCACCCCCCTCAAAACTTAGCACATTTTCTGCAATTTTATCATGCCTCCTTCCCCTTACTTCTCATCAGTAACATTTTATAAGACTCAGCATTGTTTTTGTAAGCAGTCATCTTCAGGAAAGTGTCCACCAATATGCTGATCTGTAAAGACAGCTAAATCCCATTAAAGTTGGAGGTTCATGTATTTCATGGAATCATAGAATGGATTGGGTTGGAGGGGACCTTAAAGCTCATCTAGTTCCAACCCCTGCCATGGGCAGGGCCACCTTCCACTAGAGCAGGTTGCTCAAAGCCCCGTCCAACCTGGCCTTGAACACTGCCAGAGATGGGGCAGCCGCAGCTTCTCTGGGCAACCTGTGCCAGTGCCTCAGCACCCTCACAGGGAAGAGTTCCTTCCTAATATCTAATCTAAACCTGCCTTCTTTCAGTTAAAGCCATTTCCCCTTGTCCTGTCACTACATGCTATTGTAAAAAGCCCCTCTCCAGATTTCTTGTAAACCCCCTTTAGGTACTGGAAGGCTGCTGTAAGGTCTCCCCTGAGTCTTTTTTTCAGGCTGAACAACCCCAGCTCCCTCAGCTTGTCTCCGTAAGAGAGGTGCTCCAGCCCTCAGATCATCTTCATGGCCCTCTTGTGGACTCACAGGTTCATGTTCTTGTCCTGGGGGCCCCAGAGCTGAATGCAGGACTGCGGGTGGGGTATCACAAGAGTGGCATAGAGGGGAAAAATCACCTTGACCTGCTGCTCATGCTCCTCTTGATGAGGCACAGGACATGCTTGGTTTCTGGGCTGTGAGCACACACTGAAGCTGACTCATGTTGAACTTTTCATCAGCCAACACCCCCAAGTCCTTCTCCTTAGTCTGCTCTCAACCGTTCTCCTCCCAGCCTGTGTTAGTGCTTGGGATTGCTCTGACCCAGCTGCAGGACCTTGGGACCTTGCACTTGGCCTTGTTGAAACTCATGAGGTTCGTTAATTTGGGACTAAAGTGGGAATACAATCATGTTTTATATCCTTCAAAGGAATAAAAACTAAAATCCCACGACTTTAGCACGTGTATGGTCAAGAAAGTGCAGTGGTAAAAACCTTTCAGAAATCTCCTGTTCTGTAAGTGCCTGATGTTAATACTCCACTTTTTGCGTTATGTTTCCCTCAATTTTTTTTCACAAATGTATATGCTGGCAACTATCATCACCTGAAGTAGGCCTAGCAGAGATATCATGAACTGGAGGTCATAGCATTGTCTCAGTACTACTGTCTCCAATTCTGGTGTCTTTCACTGTACCAAGCGCATCCTCTCAGCAGCTCAGCTATGTTTTATGTCTAACCTTGGATGCTGCTTTGCTGTGCTTTCAAAATATTAAATACTGCTCATGGATATATTGCAAGAAAGAAAAAAAAGTAATTCAGGTCATTGTTTAATATTATTCTTAAACTGTAGAACTTTTTTTTAGTAAAAGATTTACACATTGTCAGCGTGACTGACAAAGTATCTCACATTAAAGTTTTCTATGAATAAGTAGAAAGCAGAGGTGTGTATTTAAAGTGTTCAGGTGAGAATATATTAAATGTATGCTGTTTCCCAGCTTTAATTACTCAGATGTAACTGTGTAGATTTGGCTTTAGTATTTTTATATATTTGGGACACCAAAGTGTCTAAAGCTATAATGGACAACTCAATAAGTGAGTACTTACAAAGAAGACTGAAATTTTGCTTGCAGACACCTGGGTAGAGGGGACTGAGCGGGTTAGGCAGCCAGCAGCATCAGGGGCTGGGGAAGGGTTTCCACAAGGGTGAGCATAGCGCAGGCATTTAAACCACCTCTCACTTCTTCTCCAGATGCTGCCCAGACTGATCAAGATGTTGAGCCTCAGCCACTTGTGGAAGAAAACTTGGCAGTGGAGGTGGAGGCTGAGGAAATGCCAGACCCAGAGGTCATAGTTGATGTGGAAAGCCAGGAAAATCCCTCAGACTGTTTCCCAGATCCAAGTGATGCCTGATCTGTCATGCTTGCTGTTCTACCCTGCCTTGAAGCCTACAACACCCATCCTTTGCGTCCCATAGTCCCACTATGTGTAAGAATTAGTCCAGGAAATTTTGGCAGGGGAAAGGCATGAGGTGTCAGGCCTGCTAACTTCATTTAAAAAGATAAATACGTATACAAGGAAAAGTAGATTCTTGGCTTGAAGGCCACACTGCTGTGGGCTGCCAAGTTCTCTAACAAACAAAACTGGGCAGCTCATTGATGCTTTGCCTCTTAATAGACCTGCAGCTAAACTGTGGAGCCCTAGAGGACAGCCTGAAATAAGACGGGCAGCTCCTCTGCTTCCTGCCACCTTATGTCTTGCCATGTCTCTCACAGGCAGCAGCTCCTGCAAGGGGCAGGCATGGCAGGCAGGTTGGGATGGCCTTCCAGTCCCAGACAGAAACAAGAACTTGCCCGAGATTTCCTGAGAAAGCCCCTTCCTTCAGAGATTTCAAGGCATTTTTCACAGGCCCTCAGAAAAAAGCTCAATGGAGATCTCTGTGTGCTTGGTTTCTATCTAAATCACTCCTCTGAGCTCCAGCCCCTTTATGATTTGTTCACCACTTGCTGTTTGGGACCAGGAGTGGTGGTGGTGGCAGGGACTGCTGTGTGCAGACCCTAGGAGGTGATGGCTTGCTTGCCTTTTGATGCCCTGTAATGGCTTTCACCAGAACCTCACTGCTCAGGTTGTGAGTTAAACCAGCTCCATCACTAGCTTGCTTGCTTGCAGCAGGAGGGGGCCTGGGGTGTGTAATTTTGTCAAAAACGCTGATTATAACACTGAGATCATTCGTCAGTGCAAGCATTAGTGCCTTTAGTGTAATGATTTAGCTACTGCAAGCTCATAAAGCAGGCCATCTACCTGTACATGTAGGCTTTTTCAGTGCTGTGTTACTTGGACAGGCAGGAGCCATTCACAGACTCTCTTAGGCAAGTCTTACTGCTATGCAAGTCCTGTTCTGCTCAGGAGAGGTTTGCAAGTAGAGCAGCTGGGGTAGACTTGCAGGGAAGAAGGATGAGGTAAGGAGAGGGCAAAGATTCGATCCCAGGCAGCAGGTAACTGAGTCCCTGGCAAGCTGCCCGGGGCTGCAGGGTTCTCGAGGCACAAGGAGTACTGCAGATGCACTGCCAGAGCAAGGTATTTACTGTACAAGTGCATTTTGGTAGCTGGAAGTGAGACATGTTGGTGTTAACCTAACCCTGTGGGCTAGAAAGGCATGGTAGAGAGATGGTACAGGTTGAGGCTGAAAGGAGCGGGGAAGTGTGTGTTGCATTCCTCTCTTCCCTTCTTGCATCCCTCTCTTTCCTTTTGCTCTTCTTTTATATTGTGCTGATATTGTGCCATGAATCCCTTGGAAACAGATTTGAGGTATGCCTTGTAAATGTCACTCAACAAGGTCTGCGAGTACCCCAACAAAGTAAAAACCAAGCTGAAGCCGCTTCTCTCCCAGGCAGGGGAGCTGGTGGGACTGCTGCATGCTCACCTGAAGTCTGCATGTCTGTGACCATGGCAAAGCTCTGCACCTGTGACGCCCAGCCATAGGTGGTTGTTCTTGTTGTTTCCTTGTCTTGTGACTCTGTTTAGAAGATATTTGGATCTCATGTGCTGTGTTGGTGGTGATTCATCCTCTCTGCTTTTTAAGGCTGCTGTAGGAATCAGATTTTCCACACTAAAAGGAAGATAGTATTTCTTTTCCTCATGGCGCTGTTCTAGCTCCTTTCAGTGCAAACATTCCTCAAAGGCTGTGAGTTGAATGACAAAAATATGACGCCAAGTGCTTGGGGTGGCAAGTGCCTGTAAGCAGCACAGTGGCAGTGAGTGATGCTGGGTGAACAGGAGCTGCTGTCACCAAAATGGGAGGACAGTCAGCTTTGCATCTCTTCTGCACTTTCTGCCGGGGCAGACAGGGGACAGTCGACTCCAGTACGTGCTTCGAAGGGGGGACATTTCCTTGGGCTGCTCTGAAGTAGAAGCCAGCAGTGTTCTGGGTGCTGCGGGTGGCAGAGTAGGGCCACCCTTGTTCTGCTGAGCTGGTGCATCCTGACTTCAGCTTTTCCTAGTGCTGCCTTGCTTCTGTCAGCCCTGGGAGGGCTGGGGTGCCCTATTAGCACCACCATTTTACCACTATTAGTGTAACCCCAGTCCAGGAAGCATTTTTCCCATTGAGACAGGAATCTGAAACTCAAGATGGCTTATGGGGCACATGGCTTTATGAGGCATATGTCTATGATGACATGGCTGGTTTTCTGTCCTTTGCTGAAGATGCAGGCAAAGGTTTCTGTTACCGTGAGGTGAGAAGTCCACCCTGTGCTCTTCCTTTAACTGTATGTGTTCATGTCCAGCTATTTTCTTTTTTGATGGCTTTGTTTTCCCCATTATGCTTTTGTTCCTAATAAAGAGATCTGTTTTCTAACTTCTTTTGGAAATGTTTAAGTTCTGTTATTTAAGAATTGTTTTTTTATGGGTTTCACTGAAAGTAGAGTCTAGTTTCCAAAGTTTCACCCAGCCAACTGAAGGAAAGGTGGCAACAAGTTACTGCTGCCTTGGGTAGTGTGGAGAACAGAGATCATAAGGACATTTGTCGCAAAGAGATCACAAGAAGAGGCTGTAGGACAATAGCATGCAACTAGTCCCTGATGGAGTGTGTGGGCTAATGTGTCTGCACATCTGAGTGCATCGGCAGCTCACCAAACACTGCTCTGGTGGCTTGCCCAAAGTGTGAGGTGCAGGGAAGGGACTCAGGGAGATGGTCTTGTTTTTCCCATCTTTATCCACCTGTGTTTGTGACACCTAAGACACCTTAGCTGTGAGAGAGGATGCTTGACTGCATAGCTCCTTTTGAAAAGAGTGTGGTGGTTTAAGCCCAGCCGGCAATCTAGGACCACACAGCTGCCCCCCCACTCGCCCTCTTCCTCCCCCCGCTTCTGGAAGTACGGGGAGGAGAATCGAAAGAATGTAACTTCCACAGGTTGAGAGAAGAACAGTCCAGTAACTAAGGTATAAAACAAACCACTGCTGCTAACACCAATAATAATAATGATAAGGGAAATAACAAGGGAAGAGAATACAATTGCTCACCTGCCAACCAATACCCAGCCCAACCTGGGCAGTGATCTAGCTCTTCCGGGTAACTGCCCCCAGTTTATATAGTGAGCATGACGTGCTGTGGTATGGAATACTTCTTTGGCTAGTTTTTGTCAGATATTCTGTCTCTGCTTCCTCCCGGCTTCCTCTCCTCCCTGGCAGAGCATGAGACTCACAAAGTCCTTGGTCAGGGTAAACATTACTGAGCAACAACTAAAAACATCGGTGTTATCAGCATTTTTCTCAGGCTGAAAGTCAAAACCACAGCACTGCACCAGCTACTAAGAAGGAGAAAAATGACTGCTACTGCTGAATCCAGGACAGAGAGGTAACTCTCTCATGCTCATCCTTAGATAAGTGGGCCCAGATGGTACATAAAAACAATGTCCTGGTGGTTTGTGATCATATAAATCCGTTGACTTTACCAGTACAGGGTTAGCCCTGGAACAGTGGTGGGACTTGACATGGGTGATTGTGTTTTGCAGCCTGTGAACCCAGCACCTCAAGGAACCTCCTGCCTGAATTTGCAGTTGTTTTCAGCCTGACTATGGTGCTGCATCACCAAAGGCAATAGTGAGATACTTCCATCAGAAAGTATCTGGCAGAATAATGGGTATGGACATATACAGGGCTGTCAGGAATTTGACCAGAAACAGATGTCTCTGCTGCTTTTCTGGGACTTCTAGTGGCCCAGATGATGCTGTGCCATGCCAGCCCTACACTTGCTGGTTTGCTGAGGCAGCCCTTGGTGCCAGGGTGTCCCCAGGGATCTGTGGCCTCCTGTGGGGAGCTGGTTCCACAGCTGACAGTCACACTGTCCTCTCTGGCCACTTGTCCTGGTTGGAAAGACTGGGAGTAGGGCAGAGCCCATCCTTCTGCTCAGAGGGCTGGCAGGAGAAGGGGAGCTCCATTCTGCAGGAAATGAGGATGATTTGGGATATGTTTTTTTACCACCTGGAAAAAAAACACCAGTGGTTTATAGTACTGGGCAGAATGGATGTTTGGCTTTGTATCCATGTCACTGTTTTGTGGTGGGAAGAGAAAAATTTCCTGCTGCATGCAGCAAATGCTCAGCAACAAATGACACAAAATGCAATTCATAGTGTTTTCATTGCAGTTTGTGAATATAAAAAGAGACAGAGGATGATCTTATTTGACATATGACATAGGTGAAAGCAAAAGCTGAAAAAAGATGTGGTGTATAACAGTAGCAGAGAGAGGGAAATGATCCCTTCAGATTTTTTTAACATTCAGGATGAATTTCTACCAACAAAATTCTCACGTCAGTAAAGCTCCCCATCCTAGTTATGAAACAGTTTGTGCCCTTCTTTCCAGCCTTGACCCCAGGCTGCTGTGCCTGATGTCCTGGTGGCTGTGTATGTAGCCCTTGGAGTCCTACCTCCAGGCAGGGTGGAGTGAGGTGCCCCATAGACTTCCATAGGTAAACACACAGAATCAGTAACAGAAGTGGGCAGGAAGAGCAGCATCACCTACGTCTGTCTGAGATGGAAGCAGAATTTGGTGATGTGTCATCACAGAGGCTTGGTTTAGCATTTGGGTATTATTTGTGCCTTCATCCAGGTTGCTTAGTGCTGGGGTGCAATCAAACCCTGCCTGTACAAGGCTAGCGATGGTGAAGTTCCTTGAGCATATGCGATATTCCCCTCTTGTCCTCTGGTGTAAAACAGGCTGGGAAACAACATCATTGCCCAGTGGGGACCCTGTGACCTTTGACAACCAGTGACTGCATCGGTTTTGTTCACAATGAGCACTGTGTTTCCTTTCTGCAAGGAAGGTATGTGACTCATCTCTTAGGCAACGGATGTGGCTGGAGACAGTAGGGGAGGCTTTACCAAGAGCCTAGAAGGTCCTTAGATGAAGCCCTTCTAAATACTTGTACTTTTGCAGCAAGCAAATGGAGGTAGGCATTGTGTTAATTATATCAAGATTAATTTAACTTTGGTATGACCAGTTAAGACATCTCTTTGGGCTATGCAGGACCACTGGGAAATGTGGGTTCTTTCTAGCTGGCCTCCCTCAGACACCGCTTGTGTGGTTCCAGGCTTGCTGATGGGCTCAAGTGGAGCTCTTGTCCAGCTCTGGGACTGAGAGACTCTTCCAGCCATCTTGATCACCAGCAAGAAACGTGGCTGAATCACACAGCCATCCACTGTTGATAGGGAATAAAGAAACTGCCTGTATCAAAGCAGACTGACTACAGAGCAACAGATGTTGAATGACAAGGCAGATGGGGTGTGGGGGAGGAGGGATGCAGAGACACCCCCCCCTAAAGTGTTCAAATATGGGTAAACCCCTCAGAAGCTAGACAGCCATTGCATTCAAATATCATGTGAACAGCCTGGGGCAGTTCTGCCCATGCAAGCCAATAGCATCATGGGCACCTTCATGAAGGAGTTTCTCACCTCAGCCAGGAGGTCAGATTTCAGCCCCAACAGCTCCTTGTCCCTGGGGTTCCCCCACCCTCCCATCAGCCATGAGGGAATGAAGGGCCTGACTTCATAAAATCATACATTATGCTTGCAAGTTTAGGTACCTGACTATGTCCCTCACCTCTCAACACACCTACAGATGTGTGCCTGGCACATTGGCTCCTCCCCCAGGAGCTAATGTTGCCATCTTCTTTGGTCTGCATCTTCCATTGTCTTCAAGCTTTGCTCAGAGAAGGGGCCATTGGCCAGCACCATGTCTCCCCTTCACTGAGGGAGCTGGGTTCAGACTCACTGGGCTGCCACCCAGTGATACGCCTGATACCTCATCTGGAGCTGGCCGTGGAGCTGCAGGCAGTGAGTGGGGTGATTCATGGTTTTCCCTTCACTCTTCGTGTGGTCCCTGGGGGCTGGAGGGGTGGGTGTTGTGAGGATAAGTGAGCCTCTGCCTCCTGGGAGACGGGGACCCTTGGCCTGTGTCCACTATTTTACGGGCATTTTAGGGCAGGGACTGGTGCTGGTGCATGGGGAGACATCTCTAGCCTGCTCATTGTGTTGCTGTATCAAACACTGATGGTAAGGACAGGTTCCCATCTGTAGAGGTAGCAAATATGGGTGACTATTATCCTTTTATTTTTAATTGACTTATTTTTTTGGTTAGCATATTCCATGTCACATTTAGCCAACATACATGATGAAATACTGGATGGGGCTACAGTATAAGCTGTGTATTTAATATTGTATATTAATAATAACTGTGTAGTTAATATTAACTGTGTAGTTAATATTAGGTATGAGGGGAAAAAGCAAAACTTGGAACCTGAATTCCATGCAGAATTTTTAAAACCCACCTAAATTGATAACAACTACTGATAGTTTTAGTATTGACTAATGCTATAGAAGCTAATGTATTGCAGACCAGTGATTACTTGGAGGCAATTTTCTGCAAATCTTTTGGAATTGTAAATACAGTACATTAAAGAGAATTATTATCTGCTCCTGTACTATATGCAAATGGATAAAGAAATACTGTTCAGTGGCTATCCTCTTGCCAGCATTGCTATCTCAGCTTTGGTTATACAAGTACTTTTTGGAGAAAAAACCATATTTTCCCAACACTAGTGACAGAAGCAGTTATAAAAGATTTTTTTTTTTTTATACTGGAAATCACATAATAAGAAATCTTCAAAAAAAAATAAAAGAAAAAGATGTGATGATGCTTTTGTCTATGTGAAAAGAATTGCAATAGTGACTTTGAATGCATAACTTGAAGCAAAGGGTATTAAGAGTTTATGTTGCATTCCTGGGAAAGCTTTCCATCACAGAGCAGTGGGCATCAGAGATTTCTCCTCTAAAACACAGACAAACCTATAGTTAGGGGATTTGGGACAGCAGGGATGTGACCTACATGAATGGCACCGTCAACTGCCTGTCAGTCTTCATTCACCTGAAGCAGAATAGAGAAGGTGGGGTGGGTGAAAGCTTTTCTAAGGTGCGACATGGAGCCTGGAGCAGGAGCTGCCTGCTGGATGGATGTCTCTGTTGTCAAAGGACAAACAGTGACAGATTGAGAGCAGGAGGAGGATGCAGACAGCAGAGTCACCACTGTGGGAGATCCACAAGGAAGAAAGGGCACAGGGGTGAATGCCTGAGGGTACAGAAGTGATGCTGAATAATGGCAGTCACAGATGCTGTTTCTTCACTCAAATGGGTGGGGAGGCTGCAGGGGCCTCAATCAAGGTCTGTCCTCCATCATCCTGCCAGCTCTTTAGGCAGTGTAAAGTGCTGCCCTTCAGAAAGCTGTAGTCACTGCTGCTTCCTCCTTGCTCCCACTCTCCCTGACATTTGGCATGACTTGCGTTCTGTAGACGAATGTGCTTCTCTCCAGGTAGTAGA